TTTTTGAATGAAGAAAAAATACAATAGCAGTACAATGTGACTCACCTTAATAAAGGTAGCCAAGTGCATCCGAAAAAGGCATGCTTTTCAAGTGCTCTCATCAGTTTTGCTGAAAAAATTACTTCATATTTTAGCAATTTTAACATCAAAATTGTACCGGCTGCCATTAATCTCATGTAGGCCATCAAGCATTTAACACTCCTATAAAATCATGGCGGTATAGCCTTTGCTGTACTGTGCACCATTTTGTACTTTACTTCTGACATTTCTGTGCATGTAAAAGATTCATTTCTGCCACCTACTGGACTGGAGCGTGAAGCGCAAAAAGGCACACAGTGACTACCGGCACATTTTACTGTTAAAATTATCAGGTAAATTTTTTCACCCAAATCGATGTGAGCAGTTGGAAAATGTCATGGTGATCATGTTGTTCTGTTTTTTTTTTCACAGTTACAATTAAGGGCCATTTTTCACCAAAACTTCAGTTTAAAAATCTGTTGCAATGAACTGCCATTGGATTGAATTCACCTTCCTGGAAATTCATTAAATGATCTAATTTTCTGTTCCAGAAACGAAGTCATAAGATCATTACTCAAAACATAAGTAAATTACCATAGAATTTTAATTTCTTTAATGAAAATGTAATAATTTGCAACAATTACAACTTCTTTTCTGTTGACGTAACAAAGTCCATGTGGGCAGAGGAAAATAATATTAACCAGTAATATCATAGCAGCAATCATGATCCAATCAAATCCTGTTGGATAAAATAAAGTCCCACCTACAATATTTCCCACTGAGTGTGCTGTCTCCAGAAATGCATCACTTCCATGAAGTTAAGTTGCTATGAACGTAAAAGCTGTGAAATGTTGAACTCACATGCTGCAGATTTTGCTAAAGGGGTCATGAAATAAGAAACCAAAATTCCCTTGATCTTATGACACATAAGTCATTGTATTATAAAAACATCAGAACTAAAACTTTGTTGTTTAAACAAGTCTAAAAACAGCTTATATTGAAGGCAGTCAGCCGAAACAACACCTTGTGGAATGTTCTACTCTATGATGTAATAGTTATATAGTTATATCTACTCTATAGATGTAATAGGTATAAGCACCGCCTCAGAAGAAGAAGACAGACTGCCTGTTTAGTCACGCCCACCGGTTTGCGCACATGGGGCCCTATTTTAACGATCTAAGCGCATGGTCTAAAGCGCACGGCGCAAATGCATTTAGGGCGTGTTCGAATCCACTTTTGCTAGTTTAAGGACGGGAAAAATGGTCGGCGCTTCTGGCGCATTGTCTAAAAGGGTTGTCCCTATTCTTTTAATGAGTAATGGGTGTGTTTTGGGCGTAACGTGCCATAAACCAATTAGAGTCTCATCTCCCATTCCCTCTAAAAGCTTGTTGCGCTCGCGCCATGGCGGATTCGCTATTTACACGGCGGAATTTAATTTTTAATTTTTTTAAATGTTTGTGTGCTGCTGCGCGTACCTGTGTGTGTAATAATCAAAGTGTACGTGCGTTGTGCACCCGTCCATAGGCGTATATTACTAACGCACTCTTTAAATAACAAAGAAAAAATATTGCGCCAGACTTTGGACCAGGTTTTAGTTGGTCAATGGCGCAGTCTATTTCAGTTGCTTCAAAATAGCAACACGCCAGCAATGCGCCTAAACACACCTTGTTTTCAGACCAGCGCACCCATGGGCGCACAAATGAGCGCAAATGCATTTGCTATTTAAACAACGTGGCGCAGGACGTGAAAATGACAACTGCGTTGGGCTGAAACTAGCAAAAAACACTTGCGTCACGCCTGGCGCCACATTGCGCCGGGTGTATAGGGCCCATAGTGTTTACAAGAAAGGCGAATGCGCAGGTCTATGTAGAAACCAAACGATAAAGATGGCTCTGAAGACAACGAGATTCTGTGCTGTGCCAAGTTTAGGAAAACCAGTCTTTGCATTGCCTTCTGATCCCAACTTTAGGAAAGAGTGAATGAACTTTATTTTTAATGAAGTTCCAGACCGCGTCACAAAGAACTTGGTCCTTTGTTCACTTTATTTTACTGCGGATTCCTTTACAAACAAGGTACAATTTGATGTGGGATTTTCCAAAAGATTGAAAAGAGATGCTGTGACGACTATATTGGATCTGATGTCACACCACACAAGTGTGAGTAACTGGTGGTCACAATTGCTTTGTCTCTTAAGAGATCGTTTGATATGTATTATTTATGCGTTTTTGACCTAAATCACAGCAGCGTCCATCTATGAGGAATGTAGGCTGTCAAACATACACAAGTGTTAGCCAATCATAGCAGTAGGTGTTTACTTCCGAGTCTACAATCCACCACGCATATTCAAACGTTCAAGCGTTCTGATGAGGGGAGTTAAAAACAGGACTTATTACTTCTATATTATGATGTTTGTAAAGTAAAATTCTTGATAACAATATAAGTGGACCTCAGAGAACAGTACAAAATAAAAAACAAAGGCAGTTCATGATGTTTACTGCTTGTCCTCTTGGAGGGTTTCCATGGTGGAGCCATTTATTTGACGACCGCACTGAAATATTGATGGCTATGGAAATGAGTGTGGCCTGTTGGCTTGGCCGTCCCTGGCATTTCCCCGGACAGAATGATTCCTAATGTTCCGATAGATAAATAAATGACTAGTGTGAGCCCTGCTTATGAATATAAATGTGGAGCTGTGTCCATTTCTTCCCTCCAGCTGTTCTGTCGCCACAAGTCTGCACCCTTGAAATCCAATATCATAATCTTTTCCTCATTTACTGCTGACAGGTCATTACAACCTTTGATTTACCCAAGCTCAGTGGTGTCACAGGCAAAAGTGTCCGCTTTGACCAGATTTATTGGCTGTGGTGTCTTAAGATTTATTTTGAGGATGACCTCTGAGTCCTTTTTTAATGGAACACAGCAGGGGGTAATCCTGTTTGGCTCAATGTTTTATTAAGGGCTGAAGGAGAATATTTATTTACCTTTAATCTCACTATACTGATGATACCATGCATGTTACTTTGCTGCAGGTTACTTTGTTGTTTCCATAATTGTTTAATTTAAAGTTACAAGCTCATTTTAAGAGAAAATTTACCCCAAAATGTTGTTTCAAACATGTATTTTTTTAAAGATATTATTATTATACATGTCTTCCTGTGGACGTTAGAATGTTGAACCTGAAATTAGTTTACTGGTGATCAGGGGCTGTTAAGCTTCAAAAATGGCAATAAATCACTATAAAAGTGGCAAAGTAATATGATAAAATAAATTAAATTAAATTAAATTAATTAAAATAATTAATGTGATAAAGCTGCAAATAAAAATTAAATATTAGATGAAAAACTTCAACTTAAAATAATAATAATAATAATAATAAACTAACTAAAAATGAGAACTGTCACCTTAGCAACTAGCAGAAATAAAATGTTTAAGTTGAATTACCAAAATTACATTACTAAATTAAAAACTGAAATAAAATAAATTAAAGCTAAATAGAAATATTTACAAAAATAAAACTAAAAATGAAAAAGCACATAACAAAATTACTAAAACTAATAACTAAAATGAAAATATAAAATTCAAAATATTAATAAATAGTATATTAGTATAGAACAATTACTATAATAACAAATTAGAAATGAGAAATCCTGCCTTAGCAACAAACTGAAAATAAGTTGAACTGCCAAAATTACTAATTGAAATAAAAATAAATTAAAGCTTAACAGAAAAATAAAAATCAAAACCACATAACAAAATTACTAAAAATAAAACATAAAAAAGTATATATAGTATATAAATAATACTAAAATAACACTACTTGGAAGTTGTAATTCAATGATACTATTTTCCTTAAATCTTATTGATATATATATATATATAGTGCATCTAGATGTATCAAGTCAGTTTTGACATCAACGATGCAAAATGTCATTGATTCTCATGTGACACGCAACCGATTGCAACATCAAATTTGAATATGAGCATATTCTTGAAATATAAGTCTGATGGACTAATTTTATGATGCTTTGCCATCATTTTTAGTGAGCCTTCACATTCATTACATGGAAAAAAAACAGCATGAATTCCTAACCTGAAAGAAATAATGGTTTGGAAAGGCTTGGGAGTAAATGATGACAGAAATTTCATTTATCCCTTTAAAATGTAACCAAATACAAAGGTTTAGAATAGCAAATTTGAATGCCTCTCTCTTGTCATGACCTATGAACGCACAGCATACCACTATCATGATGGTCTCAGGTGAAGCACACTTTGCGGGTTGAACGACGGCTGGTCTACATGTGTGACAAGTGGCACACGTGCCTGCCGTGGCTCTCTGAAAGTGAAACGTGTCTTGCACATGAGCACTCGTTCACGGTGTCTCCTATCTGACATATTTGCAGCGCTTTGCCTCTGACGATGAGTTAAGTAATGTTATAATGTGATTAAGTGACAGTGTTCCTATCATAGACCATCCCTGATATATCTAGCTTGTGCTAAAATAAGTCAGATATTTTCAGAGTAGAGTCACATGGGCTGTTAATCCATCACTGAAAAATTAGTAATCTAGGTCAAACCAAACGGGTTTAATTAGTTACAATAGCCCCCCTACGAGTGTGTGACTGCTGCTCATTGCTGACAACCAACTCAAAGAGATGTTAAGCTTTGACACACCAAAAGTGGTCATGTGTAAGATCTGAGAATGCGTGCGGATATATGTGTATGTATGGTGTGTATTTTGATACCGTGCTGCGTGCTTCTGAGCTGAAACGCCAGGCTTGTATCACCTTTCACTCTTGGGCCTCATATCCCAAGAGGGATGTTAACCAGCCACATTAGACACTTGCTAGCATGCTGCCGTGACGGGGAGAGACGGGACGCCTGTGCCACGCTACCTGCACTCATACATGCTGTACGCACGGATAAATCAGTGTTTTGCTTTACAAGGAGTACGGGCCGCTGATTCTTAATGATATGTCTTTCAGGACTGTTTGACATCAAGACACCACAAGCAGGAGAGATCTTCAACATGAACACAGGTAAGTTCAAATCAGTTTCAGTTTGCATGGCTTAAATGATTTAAGGCAAATTAAAGAAATGTAAAAAATGTTTTTGGTCATGGTAGCATGTTAATACAGTGTAAACAAGTACCGTTGTAGTATGGTGTTCTTTTAAGTACCTTGGAGTAACATGCAAATGTCAGTGATAGGAATGGAGTAATCATTACCTACCATAATATACACTGTAAAAAAAATTCCGTAAAATTAAAAAAATACGGTAGCAACGTTTTAGGTTTTACGGTTGTAACTTAAATTTACAGTTTAATACTATAATTTCATTAACTGATATAATGTTAATATACCAACCTATTGAAGTACTGAAATCTGTTTTGTACCTTTGTAATACACTGATAACCACCAAATGCAGGTGGTGATGAGAAAGTCACATGATGAACCAAAGCCCATCACAAGCAGCTTTTAAATAATAACATACATAGAAGGTGCACAGTTTCATTCACACAAACACCAAACACCATCATGGTAACACATGAAACTGAAATCATGCAATAAACATTCATTTAACAACATTAGGTGTAACACACAACCCTAATATACAAAACTGATAAGAAAAAACGGAGAAATTTTGATAAGTTCCCATGTTAATGACTTCAGTACAGAAATTTCAAGTCTATAGCGACACATAGACAAGCCCACATGGTGCCATTAATTCTGAGTAAAAAGTGTTTCTGTTGTTTTGAGAAAACAAATAGAAAACAATAGAGAAATAACAGCAATGTGTGGCCTTTAGATAACTCTGTTATCAATTATATATTTACGCAATGTAGAATCTTAATCTAATTAAATATAATTTAATTGATTAATATACTAGGTGGCCGAATTTAGTTTAAAGGGCCAAACATAAGAGGGAATTCACTGCCACAGCAACATTTACAAACAAGTAACAAAGTAAACAGTTTAGAAAAAATTGACTCGAATCAAGTATTGTGAGGCAGAAAGGAGTAAAAATGTGTCTTTCCCTTCACGCTAGCCCAACAGGACTTGTTTTTGTAGGGCAGAGCATGTGATTTTGTATTCATCTCAGGGATTCTGAGAAAAGCTGTGCAGGGGGTGTTCTTATTTCTTGGCTGACTTTCTCAGAGAACTCTGTCTTTTCAGAGTCTCTGAAAGATTCTGGCATTCAAACTGCCTTTTTGACATCCAGAGGTATAGCAGTCAAGGAAAAGGAAACCCGTCAGACTACATCTGGCAGTGCCAACACCCCACACTGTCAATCCACAAAATAGTCTCGTAGTGCCCTCACTTTTAGGTCCTGCTTCAGTTGTGGCAACCTTGGATGCCAGGACTTCTTAGAAAACACTTACAGCTAATACACAATAAGATTTCTGCCACATATTTGATGTGATGAAATTTCTATTCTGAATAGAATTATTCTGTTATTCTGATAATCTGTACTCTACTATATACACTACTGTTCAAGTTTGTGGTCATAGGATTTTTTAATGTTTTTTTAAAGAAACCTCTTATACTCACCAAGGCTGCATTTATGTGATCAAAAATACAGGAAAAACTGTAATATTGTGAGAAATTATTACAATTTAAATAACTGTTTTCTATTTGAGTATACTTCAAAATTGTATTCCTGTGATGCAAAGCTGAATTTTCAGCATCATTCAGTGTCACATGATCCTTCAGAAATCATTCTAATATGCTGATTTGGAGAAACATTTCTCACTATTAACAATGTTGAAAATACTTGTGCTGCTTACTATTTATGTGGAAACATGATACATTTTCAGGATAATTTGATAATTAGAAAGAACATAATTTTTATTTGAAATATTATTTTTTGTAAGTGTGAATATCACTACTGTCACTTTTGATTAATTACAGTAAATGCATCCTTGCTAAATAAAAGTATTCATTTTCAAAAAAAGAAAAAAAAAATCTTACCTGACCCCACACTATTAAAATGAAAGGTAAAATAGTGATTTCCAGGTATTAAACATTTTAAAAAGTCACGGAAATGTTATGTACATTTCTAGTCTGTACTGTGTGCAATTTTGTGCATGCTTAGTTTTAAACCATTTCATCTGCTAGCAATTGCAATTTGTTAGTGCAGCCTCCAGTAATCTCTAATAACTGGAAAACTGAAATGGAAAGACAGACATGGAAAAATCATGAAAGGTGTGGGAACCCTGTACAGAGACTCTAAAAAAGCAGTTTAAAAGGCTTAGTGAGTCAGACCACAATACATTCACCCATCGCGCAATAAAATCCATCCTGGCATGTGAAATAATTTTGTAATGTATATTGTTGTATTGCTAAGGAAGTTTCACATTGCTCTGCTTGCTGAATCACAGTTATCTTGCCGTGCAGCAGTACTGATGCATGTGCATTTGTGTTTGCATGTGCTACTGTGCTTTTCACAGACAGTGGAGGACATGTCCGCAAAAGTGCCACGCTTTCACTCACTCTAACCCCCATGAAGAGAATCCAGAGCTCACCAAACCTATACACGCTCACAGGTATCAGGAATGCATGAAACATTTGACAACTAGTGGCTTAAAAATCAACAAATGGTTCATATTCGTATTAGCCTGTTTGTCATAAGCAGCATTATATGTGAGCAGTGGAGCTGAAGATATTGCTGCTGGTGTTAAATGTGATGGTGTGTTTACTCAGCCTGCACCGCGAGCAGGAATTCCTCTTCACTGCACTCAACGTCACTCATTCCACATCTGTGTTTTGTCTCTCTGCATCTTATGTCCTACCACAGCCTTCCTCCTCACTGTCTTTCTTTCTCTCTCTCTCTCCTACTCTTGCTCGCCATCTCATTCTTGTGCTCGCAGCTCCTTAAGGAATGTTTGAGAGCGGTAGCTCTCCTTTCCTTTGCTTAAAGGGAAAAAGCAGCTCACAGCGGCAAGATCGTTGCCATAGTTGTGCACTTCCATGGCAACAATTGTATACTTCAGGCTTTTTCCCTCGTCTCTCTCAGCACAGTTTCCTCTGGGGGTGACCCTTTTTGTTTGGGCAGTCTCATGGACTATGACCTCACACACACACATATTCTCCATTGTTTAATTAGTCTGCGGGCGGTTGAGGTGCTGCAGGAGTGAGCTAACTGAACAAACACCACTCATTCAGGACAGAGTTCGAGCGCTGTTCATTTAGCACTGTTTAATGAGCAAGGGTTATTACATCAATGAAATCGAAAGAATCATTTTTTTTTTTTAGCCTTTTCACTTTTATCAAGTGTTTATTTTAGACAAAAGTGTGTGTTTTTTAAACAGCCTTTCTGAATTGGTTTTCAGACGTGCCAGATTTTCTCTGTGAAATGTTAAGGGGAACCTCCTTTATATAAAAAACTTTCTCACTGTACCTATCAGTGTTTCTTCCTGTTGTCATATATTTTTCTGTCTTTCATTCATCTGTTGTTTTAAAATCTGAAGCAGTGTTTTGGAATAAATTAAGGATGCAATTTATGCACACATAGTTCATTAAAAACATGAATCACTAATGAGTGAATATATTATACCTAATTTGCATTAGGTACTGTGTGAAAAGTAGATCCCTTGCTAGTGTTTAACAAAGTTTTCTTATCTCATTTTAACCCATGCAGACTCTGAATCACAATCTAAAGATTCAGGTAAGCAGGTTTTATTTGATTTTATTTTTATTTTTATTTTTAAACATATTTTTGCTAATAAACATATACTTTGGAAAAAAAAGATCTGTCATTGCTGAGTTTTCGCCAGTTCTTCCTTTTCATTTGTCAGCAGTGGCATTCTGTGGTCAATTTTTTTGTATATATGAATATGAAACACACTTTCAAGTGTTTTGTTTGTCTCTTGTCAGATTTGTGGAGGCCCAGCAGCAGTACCAGTGATGGTCTGAGAAATGGTGACGTGTGTTCTTCTTCTCTGGCAGCTAAAGGCTACAGAAGTGTCAGGCCCAACTTTCAGGATAAAAAGTCTCCCACACCAGTACGTTCTGCTGTGTTTACTTCACTCATTTGTTTTTCTCATCCTTACTGTATCTGGAGGTTTTCCTTCCTCAGGAAATGTCTGTGGAAGCCCATTCGACAGTTTTTATTAATGCCATTTTTAACTGTACCAGTCACACCCGTTTCTAGTGTTTGAAAACTGAGCACAAAGCAAAGCTCTCAACTGTTATTGAAGATAACACTCTGTACTGGTTATCATAACAAATACAGAACATGTCTGTTTCCTATTATACTATTGTGTTTTTTAAAAGCATAAGAGGCACTATACTTTACATAATTTAGAATTGTGCATGCATTAAACCCTGTTACCCAAGTTATTGTGAGAAATAAAAACACAAGATAAATGTTTAATTTTTTTTTAAAGTAAATACAAGTTTACCAATAAATATTTGGACCCAAACAATTTAGTCCCTAATAGGGATGTAACGATTAACTGCGAGCCGGTTGAAAATCTATTTAAATATGTGACGATTCAAATCGGTTGAGATGCTCAACAAATCGCGATTCAATTAGGGGTAGGAGTTTATATGAATGTATGTCTGAGGGGAACTTACTGTCTTTCTATGGTATTTTTTCTTTTCCTCTTGCCTCTGTATAATGCATATTAAAGTTCATAATTGCAGCGCTGCTTTGTTTACAGCGGAAACCAAGGAAATGCTTTAAGCGCCACCTGCTGGCAGAGAGTGAATCTGCATCTCATTCAGCTCGTCTGCTGTTTCTGTTTCATACAGATATTTTTTATGCATAGTTTCACAAAACTGAAGTCAAACCATTCTGTTGTTGCTTCAAATTTCGAAATTATACAATCTAATTTATATTAAAAACTGCTCATGTTGCATGTATGCAGCATCTGGATCATGAATAAAATGCAGTGGTTGCCTCTAATTTTAAATAGAAAGAGCACAGACAAAGCCTTAGTTTGTTTATATGAAGAGATTTATTTTATTTGTGTTACTTATTTATTTGATTTGGGGCTTGTTTTAAAATTTCAATTTGGTTTGGTTATTTACATTTACATTATATTTAAATTTTGTTATTTAGCAAACACTTTTATTTAAAGCGACTAATAAATGAGGACAACAGAAGCAATCAAAACCAACAAAAGAGCAATAATTTACAAGTGCTATATTAGTATATTATTATAGTGTTATATTTCAATTTCACAAAGAAACGTACAGTATTTTGTCCAAGCAATAATAAAAGGACACATTTAATTTATAATTTGTCTTAAATCTAATTTTGTAAAAAAAAAAAAAAAAAATCGTGAATCGAATTGAATCGTGAAATCAAAATCGTCAATCGAATCGTGAGTTGAGTGAATCGTTACATCCCTAGTCCCTAACAATATTTATTTATTTATTTATAAAGTAATACATTTATTTATGAATTTATTTAATGTTTATTGGAATTTTTTTTATTTTATTTATTTATTTATATACTACCAAATGCTGGTAAAAGAAAGAAATAATTGTTATTGTGCCTGTCCTCACTATAACAATCAACTGTTTATCTCAGAGAGATTATTCTCCAAGGCAACCACATCCACACCTTTTTATTCAATGAGAGAACCACCACAGAGCAACAGTATCTGACCCGTGCTCTAATATCCCAATGCCCACTCTCCTCAGTCAGGCACGGGAACATAGTGTCCACTCCCTCATGTTCTTCACAAGCAGAGCAGCCCTTCTTACACCCTTCATCTATGGAGCTGGAGAGACAAGTAGCTTCCCTCTCCATGCGCATTAACCCTAGGCCTCAGATATCGGGACGGCGCACACAGACACTGTCTTTGAGACCCCCTACCCCTCCTAAAAGGATGGACCTCCCGGATAGCCACTCTCACCCCTGCCCTCCACTGCCATCTACAGCCCCTCCAGTGGTACATGTCACGGATTTCACAACCACATATGCATTAGCTTAATAACAGCCTCCCCTACACCATGCTGTGCCTTAGCAAACATAACTAATCCTGTTTTTGTTTTTATTTTGCTATAGCACATTGAGGCTCATGTCATTGTAAAATGAGATCTTCCTTTTTTTATGGTAAAATCATGAATTGCAGTGGTAATGGACCTGAATCACTTCCCAAACACCATTTATTCAGCTAACTGTACAGTATTTGGCTTGTACAAATAAAATATACACTACCATCCAAAAGTTTGGAGTCAGCACATTTTTTTTTCTTCAATTCAGCATTATGCATTAATTAGATTTAAAGTAAAGACCATAAAGACATTTCAAATGTAACAAAAGATTTGTTTCAAATAAATGCTCTTCTTTCATACTTTTACGAAAAAAATGCTCTAAAGCATATTAGATTGATTTCTTAAGGATCACGTGAGACTAAAGGCTGGAGTAATGATGCTGAAAATCCAGCTTTGTGTCACAGGAATAAATTACATGTTAAAATATATTAAAATAGCAAACACTTAATTTTAACTGTAATAATATTTTACAAAATTACTAAAATCTTACTGACCTCAAATTTTTGAACGGTAGTGTAAGGTAGTATATACAATATATTATTTATGCATATACATATTTTCTACTACATTATGGCCTTTATGCAGTTTTGAATTATCTGGTTTATGATTATGCTCAAATGCAACACTGGAATAAGATTTTGATCTCATAACTGTAACACCTCCATCCTTCCTCTCTAACGCACAGCCGTCAGCAGCATCACATCTCTACGTCTCTCACACCCGCTGTGCCCAACTGCTGAATCTCATCTGTGCCACTCTGCTCTCTGTCATTCAGCCTGAGGTGCCAGTCCTCCTCAAACAAACCAATCCCGGAACAGCACTGACCTCACAGTCAGCACCTAACTGGCTCAGACTCTCCCTCGATTTCATCAGAGCTGACCTTCACCCCGAGACCCCTTCTCCAGGCCCTCCCTCTCCGCTGGGGCAGAGCCGCTGCTCTTCCCGCACTCAGAGCGAAGCGTCCACAGCGGTGCTGGAGGAGTTGAGGGTGTGTGGACTAGGCCCAGAGGGTGGCTCTCGTACCCCTTCTCCAACCCTCAGCCTGATGAGTGCGGTCACAGTCAACATGGGGTTACACTCCCCTCCAGCTAGCACCGCTCATGTAACTATTCACCGGCTGTAACTTACTGCTTCTTTCTTTGTCAGTTTTCATAAGGATTCCTGCTGTACCTCTATTTCTAAAGGGGCCGTATTCAACTTTTTTCTGTATTGTTTCAAAAGTTTGGGGTCAGGAAGATAAGTAAAAAAAAATATATATATATTTTTTTTTTTAAATCAGTACTTTCAGCAACGATGCAAGGAAACCGATCAAAATTGACAGTAAAGACAAAATATTTCTATTTCAAAAATGCTTTTCTTTTAATTATCAAAGAATTCTGAAAAAAAAAATCACAATTTTCACATAAAAGTACTAGGTAAAAGTACAAAAGTACTAAGCAGCACAACTGTTTTTAACATTGATAATAATAAGAAAAGACTGGAGGACTGACTGCTGAAAATTCAGCTTTGCCATCACAAGAATAAATTACATTTTTAAAAAATACATTAAAAAAAATACATTATACATTATGGTTTTTTATTGTAATACTATTTGACTGTATATTTGATCAAATAAAGGCAGCTTTCATGAGCAAAAGAGACTTCTTTCAAAAACATTTTTAAAGCTTTACCGCCCCCAAACTGTAGCATATCTATGTCCATTTATAATGTTTTTTAGCATATTTTTTGTATCTTCTGTCTCACCCTTTTGCATGATATGTCCCCTTTAATTGCACAGTCCAAATGCTTTTTTTCTTCTTTTCTGCTCTCTTATCAATTTCACAATTTATTGTATATTATTTCTAATTTGGTTTAATTGTTCTGCATTTCTAGGGGCTGGATTAATAGACACCAATATCACTTGTCCATTGTTCACATTTAACAGTTTCACTACTTCTTCTCACTGTAACATCTGGGATTATACCAATACTAACATATTTTCTAGATTCACATCAAATCGATGGTCTTGGGGGTCTTCACTAACACCTTTTTCAATACAGATTATCTGTATGCTGAAATTCTCAGTCTATGTCAAAAACTAAAGGTGCAGGAGAACACGGTTTTGTTGAGACTTCTTGTATTGTTCCTGTGGTATCTCTTTTGGTATACTAACACTTAATACTAACACTTGTTTGTCCTGGAAATCAATAAATCCAAATACTGAAAGCCATTCTACTAAAATACATTGTTGTTTTTATCTTCCTAGTGGGTGGGCACTTTATTTTTATATGTTTATTTTACTAGTCTTTTTGGGTTTTGTTTTCATTGTTTGTTGTTCCGTTCTTTATCCTCTGTCAACTTTCATTAAGGCTAACAGATGTCATCTGTGACACAAGAGTCCGATCTCAATGTAATTTATTATGCCTAAAGAGGTTTCTTCAGTTAACAGGATCTTTGTGTTGTGTTATACAGGGCCAGATGACTATGAACGGGGGTCTGAGTGTACCAGCAAGTCCTCGTAGTCACTTCCAAAGACCCTTCTCTCCCTCAACATACCCCCGTCCTCCTTCACTGAGCCCTAGTATTACAGCCATGCAGCAGGCTAGAAGCACTGGTGAGTACTGAAGCTAATCTAACACCTCCACATGCTCTTGAGTGAATGACGTTCATCATCATTATTGATTTCATCATTGGAAAGAACAGGGAAACTGAATTAGGTAATTGCATCTCAGTTTGTACTGTATCTATTTAACTACAGCCACAGGCTGTATATGTATTAGGGCTGTCAAATCGATTAATCGCATCCAAAATAAAAGTTTGTATTTACATAATATATGTGTGTGTGTACTGTGTGTATGTATACATACATAAATACACACATATACATGTATATATTCAAGAAATATTTACATGCACACATACACACACATATATATATATATGTTTTTTTTTACATGTATGTGTGTATTTATTTATTTATATATACAAATACACAGTACACACACATATATTATGTAAATCCAAACTTTACATATATAAACTTTTCTCTCGAATAGTGAAAAATAAGTAATAGGTCTGGAAAAAAAGTAATTTTTCCAATAAAAATTTTTTCTTTAAATAATCCCAATACTGATTCGTAGAATCCCACAATTTCCCCTGCTGCTCGTTGCCAATCTTTTTTAATGAATCAAAAACATGAATCATGATCACTGTGTTCTGATTCATGAACAACTGACTCTCTTAAGTTATTTTTTTTAGTGAATCAAAAACATTTGGCATGGCATGTCTGATTCATGAATAAATTACTCTTTTAAGACAGTATTTTTAGTGAATCAAAAGCATACAGCATGATCAGTGTAGTCTGATTCACAAACAAATGACTCCCATGAGCCAGTCCTCTTTACAGAATCAAAAACATTTGGCGTGACCAGTGCAGTCTGATTCACAAACAAATGACTCTCTCAAGTTGGTTCTTTTCAGTGAGTCAAAAACATACAGCATGACCAGTGTAGTCTGATCCATGAATGAATGACTCTCATAAGCCAGTCCTTTTTAGTGAATCAAAAACATACTGTGTAGGGTGACCAGATGTCCCGTTTTTCCCGGGACAGTCCCGTATTTCAGCTCTATTTTTAGTGTCCCGACTTATTTTGAAAAAATCATGTTTTGTCCCGTATTTCAAAATTTCTTTATGACTGGGTGATCAGAGCAAGTAGTAGAAGTGTTCTGTCACGCGAGAACAGACTAATCAAAGGTAACTAAGCTTGTCGTAGAACAAAATTACCATCCAATCACAATTCGTTATCGATTAACTTGCAGTAAGTGAAGGCAGGACAGGCGGAATCACGCTGAATGACACAACAGAAGCGCTCTCTCAGCTGTGCGCCCGCGCGATCCCAGTTCTGCGATCAGTTCTCCTTGCGCCTTCATGTCAAATACACACACACAGCTGTCAAAATGTCCATCGTGTGGAGTATCTCACGTAAATACAGTCGGTTATGGCTTAAGTGAACGTAAACAGGTGGGTGAAAACCGAATATGTGTCAGTATATTACATTCATTCGGTCTTAAAGGGACAGCAGCCTAATTAAATACCTGTCTGTCTCATTAATGTTAATCAAACAACAAAAGATGTTTAAAAAGTATACATGTTAAACCTACTGTATTAGAAAAATTAGTGTATTTTATTTAATTTGTATCTATTGTATTTGTCTTATGGTTCGTAATTAGCTTCTTTATTTTTATATGAAAAATAACTATGTACAGGTGTGTGTGTGTGTGTGTGTATATATATATATATATATATATATATATATATATATATCCCGTATTGAACCTTGAGAAATCTGGTCACCCTAATACTGTGTGACCAGTGGTGTCTGATTCACAAACAAATGACTCTCATTAGCCGGTCCTTTTTAGTAAACCAAAAACACACTGTGTGAACAGTGTTGCCCGAGTCCTGAAGAATTTTTTTTTTAAATTAATAGTTCAATAATACTCAATTATTACTTTTAATCAGTCTGAAACACTCACATGTGTAGTTTGCAGCATTAGCAGAGAAAACATTTCTCTTATATGTTAGGAAACAAGATATTGTGAACAAATATTCTGTATGTGTTTTATGGCCTTATTTTAGTGACTTAAAAATTTCAGTTTTTCACTAACCACGCATTGTTTTCTCAAAAACACAAACATGTTGCTCACATATTATTGTAGCCCAGATTGTGCTGAATACAGTGTTATCAGACTTTAGCCATTAATACGTTTTAAGACACTGAAAAAAACAAATGTCAGGGCATGTCAAAACTTCTCCAGGACCCCAAAACACCCTCAGACCCTAGAGGGTTAACATCTTAACTGAAATATAGCAAATCAAAATCTAATGGAGTTTGTGAATCAGAATCAAATCGAATGAGGACGTCTGCATTGATACCCAGCCATAATAAGTGAACATGGCTTTATAAAATAATCAAAGACATGATATGAAGTAGCAGAACCATAAAAATACATATTCCAGAATGGCTATTGTTGATGTTTAAGTAATTCTAATACTATCCACCTGTCCTGGAAATATCTGTACAGCCAAGTGTCATATGTCATAAGCGTTGCAGTTCTCCCTGGTCACTGGAGAGATGTGCCAGACTCTAATGAAGTACTAATGCGTGAGTAAACATAGTGCATTTTTACCGCCCCTGTGACACTAAGCGTATCTTGACTGGTCCGCTCTGAGTGTGCGCCCGCGATCTCTCTAATCCCAAGTGGCAAATGCCTGGGATTAAGCTCAAATCTGAGTGCTGGAGCGGTTGGGGTGAGGGAGGAGCTGAGACACTGGGATTACAGCGTCTGTGTGCGTGAGGCTGGCCTTTGTCTCCGAACCAGAGCCCATTTTGCTGTTTTTCCCTAAAAGGCTTCAGTCTGAATGCCTGTACATGCCAGAGAACTCTGGAGTGGAGAGCTGCTTTCTGTGTTTATGATTCAATCCCGGAATACTGGAATCAACATATTTATGGATTATTTCTCCTGATTTGGAATTACAGTCTGCACTGCATCCCTGACCTGGCTGTATTTCTCAGTTACTGACATGGGAATGTTGGTTAGTTCCATGAGAATTACTAAAAACACACCCCCTCCAACCTGACCCTGTCTTCCTCCCATCAGCCTCTGAGTCTAGCACTCCCATCTACGCTAACGTGGATCCTCCTGCACGAGCACCACAGACTGACAGGAAAGAAACAACAGGGAAAGCTCCGCTCTACACTGGCATCGGTCCCGTGGATGAGTCTGGGATTCCCGTTGCCATACGGGCGGTGAGTGAATGCTGTTCCAGGATGTTAATCTTTTGTTTCCATATTTATACCATGCAGCTCAGAATAAATATAATCATTTGGTATTATTGTATACATTTTTGTCTTGCACTCAAGTCACAGAAGGAAATTATTAAGCAAATGATAGTTTCTTTAACTTTGTGCATTTATGGTGGAATTTTTATAAACGTTAAGAACATTTCTACCACAATGTCTATTCTTACCACAAATTATATACAGTACTGTATTTTACAGCATTTTGTGAGGAAAATGACAGTTTTGCGGTAAAATAACTACCAGTTTAGCTAGCATTTAGGTTGTGTTTTATGTATCTTAAATACACAAATAAATCATATTTTTAAACTTAATATTTTGACAAAATTATACCTTAATTGGAAATGATGCACAATAAAATATTCTGTTCACAAATTATATTTCTAGATATATACAAATAATTTTAACAGGAAATATAAAAACAAAAGTTTATGATTAGATAATAATAAATGTAGATAATAATTGTTTTAAACATGTAAGAATTCAAATATTTTCATAGTTTAATATTGAAATTCTGGATTTGGGATATGGATGGAACAATAAAAATCTATAATCTATAACAATGCATTTGAAAAGTACAAATATAAATGATGAATGCATGGCAGAAAGTTTACTAAACAGTTTTTGTGTGTTAGTTTTATAATGAAAATGACTTTTAAATCTGTTAGTTTTATTATAATTAAACATCTGGCACATAAAAGTGCCTGAAGTTGAAGAAACACCTACATGTTACTGGAGAACTTCATACTGTAACTACTATAGGCTTATTTAGAGTTTATTAACAATGCAATAAACAAGCTTAGCATTCATTTTGAGAAAGCTCCCTGACTCTTTATTGGCTCTGGAGACAATGTCGGAAGTGCATACCTATAATTGTTAATTCCAGAATTAATCTTCAGTCGGTCTCTGGTCACATGGGACGAGCTGTTTTGATTTGTGCGCTAAATTGCATTTTCCCACACAGAGTTTCATTTATCCCCAGGGAAACAGGGGCAGCTGTGCTCAGCATCATTGATGGGCCAGCAGACAGACAGTGATGTGTCTCTCAGAGAGGCCAGTTGCATCAGCATTTTTATAGGAGCCTTTTGCATCCAGAGTTTTGGACTCAAGGTCATGGAGCACATTCGGGTTGCTATTTGTTTTCTAAACTTTGCTTCTGGACCTTGGAATCTTAATCTGTAAGAGCTGGGAAAGCCTGTAATCTAAAAATGCTTGCTTTGTGTGTTGTTTTAGACTGTCGACAGGCCAAAAGATTGGTACAAAACCATGTTCAAACAGATTCATGTGGTGCCTAAACCAGGTAAAACCGGATTTTTTATATCTACCACCATTACCTTAAAAATGTATGCTAATATTAAGAAATCATAAGCTCTAAGAAGAAGAAAAAAAGCCTATTATGTGGTTATTGGAAGGAATTTTCTACAGTAGTTAAACACTCACATACCAACTTATTTTTAGTTCAGTTTCTTCTATTCACTTTTTATAGCACTTATGCAACACAGAAATTGACAGAAAACATTTTTGCAAACTATCATAGTTTGTGCACTTTTGTAATTTATTATTTTACACAAACAGATATTTACAGGTTGGTTTTATGAATGCAAGGAATATACAGAATCTCCCTGTATTTTCTGTGTGATAGTGGACCTGTCTGCTAAGGGGATAGATGTTTTGCAGAGAAGTGCAACCTAAAGAGGAGTGACAATAAAAGAGCTTTACTCAGCAGGTTGTGGATTACAAGTGTGTTCATTACTGGTATTGGACTGTCGGGGGGTTTGCCTGAGAGATTACAGGGGTCACAGGATCAAACCCTTCATTTCGCATCTTATTATGTTTTTTAATTGTCTTACTCCCACATCCTGCTTACAAATGAGTTTGTTTACATTATTAGGTTTAAAGCACTCTGTATGCAGTTCCTGTTTGTGATATATGTAATCCATATTAATCATGTCTGCTTATTTGTTTTCACAGATAACGAGTGGTCTGGGTCCCGTACTGCCACAGATCCTGTTACAAGTACTGGCACAACTATTTCCAAACAAGGTCTCTCTTTGATTTAGTATTATTTTATTACCAAATAATGTTGATACCAAATAATCAAAACTAGAAGAACTAAAACTAGTATAAACCAATAGGAATAAGCATAATTAGTAATTAACTTTTTTTCGGGAACACTTTATTTTAGTGTCCTTGTTGCACATTACGGATACTTACCAAAGTAATAAAAATAGTTGTACATAATTTTATGTATAATGTCTGCAGTTACATTTTTTATTGTTTTTTAATAAGTAAAAAGCAATTCATTTAATAATTAAATAATTAAAGATTATTACTTTATTACAAATTAATGTATAATGTCAACAAAATGTTATATATACACATATGCATTGCCAGCCAAGTTTAGAATAATTAAACTTGCGTTTTTAATGTTTTATAAGCCTCTTATGCTTACAAAGGCTGCATTTATTTGATAAAGTCTAATTTTAAGTTTTTAAGCATTTTTATATCAAAATTATACTCTAGCAAATAAATGCAGCCTTGGTAAGCGTAAGAGAACATTTTAAATATTGTGTAATCTTGTAAACCGTTATTACAATTTAAAATAACAATTTTGATAAACAATTTGAAAATATTTTAAAATGTAATTTATTCCTGTAATGTCAAAGCTGAATTTTCAACATCATTACATCAGCCTTTAGTGTCATATGACTCTTCAGAAATAATTCTAATATGTGACCCTGAACCACAAAAGCAGTCATAAGTAGCACGGGTATATTTGTAGCAATAGCCAACAATACATTGTATGGGTCAAAATTATCGATTTTTCTTTTATGCCAAAAACCATTAGGATATTAAGTAAAGATTATGTTCCATGAAGATATTTTGTAAAATTCCTACCGTAAATATATCAAAACTTAATTTTTGTTTAGTAATATGCATCACAACTAAAGGTGATTTTCTCAATATTTAGATTTTTTTGCACCCTCAGATTCCAGATTTTCAAATAGTTGTATCTCAGCCAAATACATCAATGGTTAGCTTATTTATTCAGCTTTCAGATGATGTATGAATCTCAATTTCAAAAAATTTTGTGGTCCAGGGTCACATATATACAAAAAAAAAAAAAAACACTGTAAAAATTGGTTACAATGTACTAAATTACATTTAGTATTATATATTTGTTACAGTATATTATGTGTTGTTATTTCTTTCAGATAAGCATGCTGCACCTAATGCTGCTCAGGCCCATCCTGCACCTAAAACCAGCACCTACTGGCCCATCACCAAGAGTGTCTCTGATAACGGAATATATGGTCTCAGGGTGCCTGCCTCCTCTTCTCTCCCGACCCCTCTGCCCACATCAGCATCCACACAGCAGAGATCCAGCGAAAGGGAGGCACCACAGAGAGGCAGGAGCACACCTGACATGTGAGAATCACCCATCCATGCTTATACTATCACAACAATACTTCTCAGGCAAACTTAATTTAAAGGATTTTCAGATGTGAAAACAGCTACTAAGTCCCAATTTTCAGGCAATATTTGTCTCTCAGGAATGAGTGGGGGCCTCCTGACAGAAAGGTGGACACACGGAAATACAGAGCAGAGCCGAGAAGCATCTTTGACTATGAGCCGGGGAAGTCATCTATTTTAGAGCAAGAGAGAGCGGTAAGTATTCAGTGACTTTTAAAGTTTAATATTTTATCATTTTTGTGTGAACTTTTAAAATGGCAATGAATGGAATTAAATTAGCCTAGATTTAAAGTAACTTAATTATTTATGGCTTGTTTAAAGATGGTTACACAAAGTGCATTAAATTTATGAGGCATTTTTACTATTTGAGTTTAGTATTTGAAGGCACAAAACATATCGATCTTAGAATTAACGCCCCATGGCTTTATGGGTAGACAGATCGACTATCAATCGGCGAGTCCCAGTGTCAGCAGCGCTGCAGGCATGATACACCGAATGTTGATAGACTAAACTGAGTTGTTCTTGTATATTAATAGAATTGTATTGACAATACGCAGCAACAGTTGAAGCTACATGATAGGCTTTCTGTATTTGTTAAAAGAACCTCCACAAACATTTGCCCTAATCGGGCAGAAGTGCTTCAGCAAGCCTGTGCAGAGTCACTCAATAGAGCAGATAAACTGTGGGTCCATTAGAGCGTAATGTGGTCAAGGTCACTAATAAGGTTAGAGAAACCAATTTGCTTCTGCTAGAGCAGTTTGTCCTTGTGCAGTGAGTGTTTGTTATGTGCCACTGCCCCCTGCTGGATAGGAGCGGAAAATTAAAAAAAATTAAAAAGCCTTTGCTCTTTTGCTATTTTCAGCAAAGTAATACTAGTTTTGCGCTCTGCTGAACTTCACAAATCAACGATGTTCCCTTATTTCTTGCCATTCCTCATTTTACATCTGTGTCTGACTGTCACATTCGCATGATTACCTCGTTTCATTCCTTCCTTTCGTCTTCTTCCCCCACTTGCTTTCATTACCAACACCAGACAAGTAACTTAAGGCCAGAGGACATAGATTTAGAGAATGAGCCGTGGTATAAGTTCTTTGCTGAACTGGAGTTTGGGCGGCCGGTAAGTGTGACTTTGGTGCTGCTAGCATGCCGCTTGTGATTGGTGTGGGGGTGGAAAGGTCAGATACGTGCTGTCGGCCTGTGGTGGACATGTCTGAAATGACTGGTTGGAATGAGTAGACAATTCTGGACACTGTAACACATGTGCTGGAGTGTGATGAATAACCAATATCAGGTTCTGTGTAAATGAGCCTTGCTTCCTCCTACTAGAATTTGTGTTTTTGCATTTCCGGCTTTGATTTGCACACATTCAACTACTGTTGTGGATTAATTTGACCATATTTGCATGACTTTACAAATTAGGTTTTCACTCTTTGTGCAAGGTGTGTGTAGTTTAGTAGTCTTTGGCTTGGCGTGCTATACGTTGTGTTTATATAAAAGGAGCTGTACTGCAGTGTGTGTAGTGTTTTTGTTGCATATGTGCAACTTTAGTTTGTGGTCGTCACATTGTTGCTTTCATAGTCATGTGACTTTACTTTCTCCCTTGTTATGTCACCATTTCTCTGCTATTCCCGCCTCTGTCCCACCTCTGGGTGAAGCCTCCAAAAAAACGTCTTGATTACAATCCAGAGAGCTCTCCTCGATTCCAAGCAGAGGTAAAGGATGAGTGATTGACTAAATGATTAACTGCTTCACTGACCAACTAGGAGAACAAAAGAGAGAAATTAACAGAAAGAAGCTAATGCCTGCCTTCTCAACCCATCCTCATTTAACATCACTTAACTTCAATTCTAACACAAAGTCCATTGTTTTGAGTAAAGCAATGCACTCTTGAGATAGGCCACAAATTGAACTACAGAACTGAGAAAATAAAAGTTTATGCAAAGAAGGATTACTTAGAAATAGTCTGTTAAACATGTTAAGAAGTATTGATTTACATTTAGTGTAGCCTCCTGCTTCTTCTCACAGAAGTGTTTTCCTTTACCATAGCTCTGAACACTCTTGTACATGTAAATAATGCATATCTGATATAAGTAATATGCTTCTTTGCAAATATGTATAATAAATACATTTTAGCAAACACCTAATGTCATTTCAAAATTTTGATTAAGTAGATACTTGCATGCACATTAGGATGGCATGGTAAATTTGTGTTAAGAACATTCTAATGATCCTCTTTTATTATTATTATTAACGTGTAAGTGCTGCTATTTACAAAGGTAATTGCAGGTGAAAGTGTGGTCTTAAGACCTTAAGTCTTAAGAATGCATGTACACCTGCATTTGCTTCTCTTATCATAATAACATTTAATTATAGTATTATATCATTTATTTCTCGTGAGACAGGAGCACTTCCTCCTGGCTGTCATCTGCCGATTCTGTCCATGTGTTTGTTGTAGGTGAAGGATCTATGGACGTGCCATCTACAGTATCACATTACTACATCTCTTTCACTCACAGACTTTTTTCTGTCATTGTAAATATAGTTTGCTGGCTGTCAACGGGAATAATTAATTAAGAATAAATTAATAGTGTCGCTTTCCTGCACACACACTAAGTTGTTTTCACACGCTATTCAGAATTATGCAAATCAAGTAACATTGAATGCATATGTTTTGCAATCATGGCACATCTATAATGATCTATGTTTATCATATTTACACAGAAAGGAGGCGTGATTGAAAGAGTGCATATTTCAGTGCATTTTGCACATAGTTAAACTGAATTTGTTAGTGATCAAGACATATGCACAGGCATATAACTACCACATGCAAGTGGCGCAGCTTTTTAGTGAATTTTTCTTAATGTTTTTTTTGATCACTTGCTCCCTGTGAACTGCTACTGACCACTGTAAGGAGAGAACGTAACTCAGAGGCCAGTGTAGTAACAGTTATGGTTTGAGGAATGCTGTAAATCCAAACAAAGAATTGCTAAAAATTGTCACAGAGGCTTTGCAGCCCAATTTTGAGCCTGCTAGTGTCGTATCTGTCACTCAGAGCTGTATTTATGTTGACTAGATGTAAATGTGTCACACTGAGGAGACATTCTCGGTACTGCATGCTTGGGCTACTTTTAAAGAGGGTTAAAAAAATGCGAGGGGCGTCTGCTGCTGGTCTGAAGAGCTGTTCCAGATAACACTGCTCAGAACTTCAGTAAACAGGAAGATGATTATCTACTCCAGCCATGCGTACAAGGAATTCCCTGCTTTGTTCGACATAGAAACCCTCGTAAGTGATCTAACGCATCTAGCTGTCCTGGGAATGGCTGGGTTTTCAAGGGACAGCTGGCCCACATCACTGTGTCCAGACATTGGGAGTTTCACTGTTTTAACCATTGTTGGATTTGTGAAGGAGAGCGCTGGGTATCAAGGAACCTACTATAAAGTAAGTTTGGATAATAAGCAAAGAATTCACCCTGCTTTTTCGCCTTCATCTGTTGCAGACATCCCTTTATCAGCCATCCATAGAGAGGAGCCTTGAAAGGCTCTCAAGGTAGGTTTAACTGTAAATGCATTGAAATGATTTGAAGTCACACAAATATATAGTTTATTGCATAGATTTTTTTAAAGTATCTATCTATGTTTTTAAAATATCAAACAAAGTGACACTTTTCTCAAAACATTTTTGCAATGACTTTTAACCAACTGGTCCCAAGGTCAGTCTTAAGGGATGCATAGTGCAGGTCATGACATTACAGAACTTGTTCTTCTATAACATTCAGAAAGTGTCTGACTACTTTTTGTCTTATTTGTAATATTCTTTTGTATCAATAACTAAAATATTTTATAATATATTATATATAATATATAATACTATCAAATCTAACAGACTTCTTCTTGTGAAACATTTTGCAACCATGCAAAAAATGCCACTTGGTTTGATTTTTGTTTTCCAATATATGTTGAGGTCACTGTATAGGTGAGAAACCATGGCATTACTTTCAAATGGAGATTAGGATTGCATTTCATTCTAAACTTGTTCCCCTTTTTTAACATTGTTTATTACGTTTTTGAATATATTGTTTACAAATCTTCAACCACATTGATTCTGCAGCTCTGCCATTGATAACAAGAGACGGAAATCTGAACCTGCAGCCACTCAGTCCAGGGCTCAGAACAGTGTGGGCACAACACAAACATCTGTCAGACCACTAGAGCTACCCAGGAGCAGCAGCACCCAGAGGAATCCCCTCACCAGCCCCAGCTCGCCCGCCACCACCAGGACTAAAGGTAGACATCAGACAAGCAGCCAGACTTGTGCACATTATTATAAGAATAAGCAACAGAAGGTTCACACACAATTTTCATTTTGCTCCTCGCAGCGCAAGCAGAATTTTAAACGAATTTCCCTTTGCATGAATAAAGTTCAATTAATTATTTAGTGTTTACAATCTTGCCTCAGTGTAGTGTAGCATATCAATTGCTTCTTTATTCATCGAGGCCTTGTTGATGTCTGATTTCTTTCCAGTTTTCCTCCAGGTCGTAGTATAAACATCCTTACTTTTCTCTCCTGTGGGTCACTTACCTTTTAATGTCTTCTCATGTCTCTTTTTTACCATGCTGCTTGTGGTGGATATCTAAGGTGGGGATGTGAGCAATATGCACACAGCACATTTAAATTGTCAAAGTCCAAACCATGCTACCTCAGAATCCACATATCAAAAGAAAGGGCAATATGAGGACAGTTTCATAGCTGTCCCAGCTGTCTCAGAAGGCTTCTCCAGCCTCCCCGAAGGCTGGAAAAAAGCCCAAGAGAACCCAGAAGACTGGATGATCTCAGAGGAGACCACGTCTAAGCTCAAATCCTGGAGTTGTGATGACCTTCTCTCTGAGGGGAGGGGAAAGGAAGTGCAGACCCGTTCGGAAAGCACCGGCTTTTTGTTGCACAACGGGGAACTAGAGGCATCACAATGCATTGGCGCCCAAGAATCTGAGGATCCTAGGGAGAGGACAAGGCACCGCTCAGCCCACGATGCACCAGGCTTCCTCAAACTCTACAAAAAGATGCATCACATCAACCGACAAGAGCTGATAAACTCTACGGTGATATGCTCCGTCAAAGCCAGGATCCATAAGTATGAGAGCGAACAGCGGAAGGACAGACGCACTGGCAACAAGGGCTGTAACGAAGAGGTGCCTCGGGACATGGTGCACAATAGGATTTCTGAATTCGAAAGTCTAATCCAGAAGTCCAAATCCATGCCAAATCTTGGGGACGAGTGCCTGATCAGGAGTTCTTGTAGGAGGGCCAGCAGTCCCAAGCGTAGCCTCTCTATTGAGTCATTACTGGATGAAGAATCACCTGCCAGAAATCCTCCTGAAGGACGGCCTCAATACCCCAAGATAAGCACCCACATGCCAATCCACATTCAAGTCACCAGTGACCAATTACAGAACTCTGCCATGCAACACGACTACTCAGACAGCGAACATGATGCTGTAGTGTCTGACCTTAGCGACTTCATCCAGATTGAGGGATCAACCTTCTGTAGTGAGAGGGAGTTTGACGTGTGTTCATTTGCCTCCTCCGAGAGCTTCTGTGGATCTGGGCACCACCATCATTATCACAGGCAGCTTGTGAGCTCCTGTAAGGGCCGCTGCCCGGCTTCCTACACGCGCTTCACCACTATGATCAAGCACGAGAGGGCCAAGCAGGAACGGAGGCAACATTTGCGAGTAGAGGAGTCTGAGTTCGGCCTCAGCAAACTCGCCTTCCTGGTCAGCCCAGTGCCTTTCCGCCGGAAGAACCTGTCACCTTTGAGTTGTTCCCGAGTGCCAAACTCTAAGAGCTGTATGTATGAGGCTCTAGATTCGGCCCTGAAAGACATCTACGACCACATCCACGCTGAGAAGCACAGGGGTAACCTGCCGGACAACAGCATCCTTCATAGGTTGCTGGTGGAGTTGCTTCCTGACATTCCTGAGAGGAATTCGTCTCTACACGCACTAGAGAGAAACAGCCCAACAATTCAGCCTCGCTCTTGCCACCCACAGCCTGACGGCATGCCCAGCCAGGACACTCACCAATCTGAGTACTCACGCCTGTCCTATAGTGCCTCTCACAACCATATAGACAGCAACAACAACCAGAGGAAGCACAACTTTGAATACTGCTATCAAGGTGGACTCTACTCATCCATCTCTGGCTTCCCAAATCCCATTCTGTCCCCCGTGTTTGAGTTCTGCTCCTCCACCATTGCTATGTTCCATTTGTGTTTGTTAATGTGCTTGCTTAGAGCAAGGGTGTCCAAAACTGCACCTGGAAGGCCAACTTCCTTTAGCGCAGTAGTCCTCAACTTCAGTTTTGGGTACCCACCGCTCTGTACATTTTGCATTTCTGTCTTATCTGACATACTCAGTTCATGCTGCCTTCACATGCTATCGGAAACTTCCTACTTCCCACTTCTGAAGTTGTAATTAGAGTTTGTCATGTTCAAGTGCTTTGTTGTCAGAAAGAACAGAAATCCAGTCTGTTTCTTGGGGAAATTTTATTAAAGCCAAAAGGTATATTTTAGAAGATATTTAGTCAATGTCCAACAGGTTTTGAATAAAATGTAGCATCCCATTAATTGGTAGCCATACAGTATAAATATTCACAGTGCTATCTAGATATTCAGCTGGCTGACGATTCCTAAATTTCAGTCAAATAAATGCTATTTTCCTTGTGTTCAGTGCACACAATATACATTAAATGGTTATTTATATACGTAAATATTAGTGCTGCTAATTTTTATCAAAATAAAAGTTTTTGTTTACATAATATATGTGTGTACTGTGTATATTTATTATGTATATCAACTCCCGTACATCGCTATCCATATAAACATTCACTGCGCTATCTAGAATATTCAGCTGGCTGACGATTCCTAAATTTCAGTCAAATAAATGCTATTTTCCTTGTGTTCAGTGCACACAATATACATTAAATGGTTATTTATATACGTAAATATTAGTGCTGCTAATTTTTATCAAAATAAAAGTTTTTGTTTACATAATATATGTGTGTACTGTGTATATTTATTATGTATATCAACCCTCTACATTGCGAGTAAATCACTCGAATATGCGACTAAATCTTACTCTGGGCGACTAAATAACGTCTATCTTTTAAGTGTGAAAAATATGCAAACAATTAAAAAAACAGGAAGGGGGCAAAAACTTTTTCACACCACTGTATATAAGTATAGTATTTCAGTCTGGCGAGTAAACAAAAAAAATTACTAGCCAATGGCGATTATATTGCCAAGGTGTGCGTAGAGGGTTGTATATATACTGTAAATACACATGCATACACCTATATATTTTGAAAAAAATTGCATATATTTACATGTATATATTTATATTCATATAATTTATATTTTATATATATATATATATATATATATATATATTGTATACAAATGTAACATATTTTTCTTAAATATATACATGCATGTGCATATACATAATAAATATGCACAGTACACACACATATATTATGTAAACAAAACCTGTATTTGACGTACCGTAAACTAGTGTGAAGGCGCACGACTCGCCGTCGCTTTGCTGATAGCGCTGTGTTTCTCACACATGCAAAGAGAGAGTGAGAGTCTTGCATACCATGCTGAATTGACACGCTACATGTAAACCATATTCTTTGTTGTATTTTCCTGTCAAAATAACAGAGTTCATTTAGAATTATTCAGCTTTTAAGAACAAGCAGAAGATATGCCGGTTTCTCGGCAGTGGG